GGTTTTACTTGTTCCTTTCCAATTGGAATGCATTTTATCTAGTTGGCCTGGCTAGAACTTTGAGTATAATGTTGCATAGAATGTCAAGAACAAACATTCTTATCTTCCTCCTGATGCTTGGGGGAAAGTACCCAGTCTTTCACCATTGTCAATGGGATGCTCTTTATCAGGTTGAGGAAGTTCTCTTCTATTCCTATTGTGTTGAATTTATTTTCATGAAAGGGTGTTGGATTTTTGTCAAATGCTTCCCTTCCTCTTACATCTATGAAATAAACGAACATGAGATCCCCCCACCCCCTGCATTCTATTAGTAGGGTGCATTACATTAATTGCCTTTCATATGTTACATTCATGGGAGAAATCCCACTTGGTCATAGTGTTTAACAAAGGGTCCACACACCTTTTGTTGAAAGCATAGGTGTGGACCAGGCAAGCTGCTTGATGGCAAGTGTGTGTGAGAGAAGGGATGACGAGAAGCCGAGGCATTTGGGGGGACCTGCAATTAGTTTACTAAGACTGGAGAGTAGGGTGCCCATGGGGGCGTGGCTGTTGATGTGGCTAGAGTAGAGGCTGCAGGAGCCAAGATACGTAGGTTCTGGTCTGCTATGCTCAGGTTTTGGACTACCTTGTAGGCTATTATGAGCTCACTGTGGTCATTAAGCTGTGGAGTGGCATGGCTTGATTTGTTTCCAGAAAGCTCATTCTGGCAGCTGTGTGGCAAATAGGATAGAGAGGCCTGAGATTGAAGTTAGAAAGCTACTGCAGTAACTTAATCAAGAAATGATAGATACTTAACTAAGATGATGGCATTGGTAAATAACTCCAGGGGACAAATTCAATTTAAAAAATAATTTGGCTGACAGATCTCAGAGGGGAGGATGTGGGGGGGGGGCGGGTTGGAGGAGATTAAGCAAAGTACATATATGCTTATATTCATAGCCCACGGACACAGACAATAGGGTGGTGAAGGCCTGGGTGAGGCGTGCGTTGGGTGGAGGAGGTAAGGGGGGGAATGGGGGACATCTGTATTACTGTCAACAATAAAAATAATAATTTGGTTAGTAAAATGACACATAATAGGTGCTTGAAACATATTTATGATACTGTTGACCCTAGCTGGAGACTTGGTGATTCTTTATTTTAAAAAAATATATTTTATTGATTTTTTACAGAGAGGAAGGGAGAGGGAGAGAGAGTTAGAAACATCGATGAGAGAGAAACATCGATCAGCTGCCTCCTACACACCCCCTACTGGGGATGTGCCCACAACCAAGGTACATGCCCTTGACCAGAATCGAACCTGGGACCCTTCAGTCCGCAGGCTGACGCTTTATCCACTGAGCCAAACTGGCCAGGGTGACTTGGTGATTCTTTTATTCATTCCTTCAATTTATTGAATGCCTACTATACATCTGGGACTGTGGTAGGCATCGAAGAAATACCAATGAGCAATGTTCATCAGGTTCCTGCATGTAGTGTGATGGAAGATATATAGACAAGAAACCTGACAATGAAAACACTATATTATGATATGTGCTATGAGAAGGGAAGTTCAAGATGCTATGGGAACATTTAGGAATAATTTACACGGATTTTGCTGTTTGGGACATATTCCTGGAGACATTTGTGTCCACGCTGAAGAACAAATAGAAGTTAGCTGAGTGAAAGAGTAGAGCATTAGTGGAGGAGCGGAGGAAAGCTCTGGTATAACTCTTCGAGTGCAGGGTGAGATGACTATGGATTTTGGAGCCATTACTGGAGATATGGGCTAAAGATGAAGGTCCTGATATTGGTTGGAAGATGAATTCAGTTTGGAGTATGTCAGTTTGAGATGCCTGTGTGATATTCAGATGGAGATGAAGGATAAATGGTGTGGGAATTAAAGAGAGATAGAGGTCAGGGCTGGAGATATAGATTTGGGAGTCATTAGGATAATTCTGGTGGACATGATGTACAGGCAGTCCTCGGGGTTTCGTGGTTACGTCGCTATCTCCCGTTTATTTAATAAAAAAACAAGTTCCGTCATTTCAACGTATGTACATATGTGCTTTATGTTTTTTTATTTACCACAAGTAAAGGTCAGGAATTGTTATATTTCTTTTAATTTTTTTTTTACTATTTCACTTCATTACTGCTGTGTATGTGCTCCATGTGAGTGACATAGGTGCTTATGTAGGTGGGTTCTGACTTATGGTGAAAATCGTATTTCGTTGCGCCATAGGAACGGATCTCCCGAAACCCAAGGACCTATTGTAGTGAGACCGTACAGGTAAAGTGTATAGAGAGAACATAGAAGGGGACTAAGGATGACTTCTTTTAAGGGGCCGGCAAAAGAAGAAAATTCTTGGAAGGAGACTGAATGAGTGTCTGCACAGATAAGAGAGGACTGAGAGAGAATCAAACCAGAAAGAAAAGAACGGGGGGTCAGAAAAAGACAGATTTTACCCTAGCCGGCTTGGATAGAGTGTTGGCCTTAGGACTGAAGGGTCCCAGGTTTGATTCTGGTCAAGGGCACATGCCCGGGTTGTGGGCTCGATCCCCAGTAGTGGCGTGCAGGAGGCAGCCAATCAATGATTCTCTCTCATCATTGATGTTTCTATATCTCTCTCCCTCTCCCTTCCTCTCTGAAATCAGTAAACAATATATATTTTAAAAAGAGGAGAGAGAGAGAGAGAGATCTTTTGGATTCTTATATTTTCCATCTTGTCTATCTTTTCCATGAGAGTCCTTAACATAGTAATCATAGTTATTTTGAGTTTCTTGACTGATAATTTCAACACCTGTATCATATGTGAACCTAGTTCTCATGGTGCTTTGTCTCTTCAAATTGTATTATTTCTTGCCTTTTAGCATGTTTTTAAAATTTGTTGTTGTTGTTGTTGGCCAGGCATGCTGTATAGGACAGTAGATTCTGAGGTAAATAGAACTTCAGGGTGAATATTTATATCAGTCTGGCCAAAGATGGTTTCTATCTGATGTTTGCCTCTATGAATAACAGAGGCAGTAAATTTCTCTGGTGTCTTGTTTTTGTCTCCCCATTCCTTTGTGCTGCACATCAGAGACAGTCTGCCTCTTGCAGCTCTCCCAGCTGTAGCCCACTTTTATTTTAACCAGAGGCGTATTGGTTGTATTATATGTGGGAGGAGGACATTCTCTAATCTTTGAATTATGTTTCAATCTTTAGAGTGAACAGTGGGCCTATGTCTTGGGAGTGCGGCCTTCACAAGTCTTTTAGTCCCTTTCTCAGGTGTTATGGTTTGAACTGTATGCCCCCAAAAGATATGTTAATATCCTAATTCCTAGTACCTGTGAATAAGACCTTATATTTGGAAATAGGGTCTTTGAAGGTAACCAAGGTAAGTTGAGGTCATACTGGATTAGGATGGCCCTAAATCCAACAATTGATGTCTTTGTAAGGAAAGAGAGATTTGAAGGCACAGAAGAGACACAGGGAAGAAGGCCATGTGATGATGGAAACAGAGAATGTAATGATGTTGCCACAGGCCAAGGAACATGAAGGATTGTGGGCAACCACCAGAATAGATTTAATGATAACCAGAATCTAGAAGAGACAAGGAAGAGCTCTCTCCCAAAGTCTTTGGAGGGAGCATGGCCCTGCCAATGCCTTGATTTCAGATTTCTAACCTCCAGAATTGAGAGAGAATAAATTTATGTTGTTTTAAGCCAACTAGTTTGTGGTAATTTGTTATAGCCGTGTTATGAAACTAATACACTGGGATAAAGCTTCCCCGCCCCCTCTTCCACCCAATACTTTTCCTGGTGGTAGCATTTCCAGTCTATGCCTTTGAACCTCTCTCTTGTACAATGAGGCTTTCTTTTCTTTCCTGTTTTTCCTTATGTGATACAGGGAGATAAGAGTGGGGCTGGAACAGTGTTCCCTTTTTCTAGCTGGGATGACATTTTACTATTGCCCAAATTATTTTTGTCTTTCTTGCAACCTGTAGGATAACCTTGGAAATAAATGGCTAGAGGTCCTTAGAAAGTATTTTCAGTCCACATAAAAAGTATCTGTTATTGCAAAAACAATGTGAATATATTGAACACTATTGAACTGTACACTTAAAAATGGTTATGTTAAATTTTATGTCGTTTTTATCACAATTAAAGAGAAAGCATTTTTTCCCACACATCTTACCAAAATCATCTCCATGTTGTTGTCAAGCACAATTCAGAGGCTTGGAGTCTGTATGGTGTCAATGGATGGTTAATGGAAGTAAGCTTTTGAAGTTGGGCTGTTGAAGGGCCCAATGAATGACTCCTCCCCTCAGCAGGTCCTGGATCCTGCTTTGCAGGTAGGACAAACTGTGGCACATCCTAAAAAATTCAATAAGAAGAAGAAAGTGTTAGTAGCAACATAAAACAACTTTTATGAGCCCAAGAGAATAAGACTACATAAAAAAACTGTGTAAAAGAATAGATTTTGTGATCTCAACTACACAGGATTAAACAAGGAAGAAATTCTAAACAGCTAAGCATAAGTAGTCTATAACCATTACTTCTACTTATTCGACAGCCATTCTGATTTTATGCCTTGCAATGTTGCTTCTACCCCACTATCTAAGAAGTGGTTCTTTTATTAATTTTTAATGTGTATTGAATTTATTGGAGTGACATTGGTTAATAACATATGGGTTTCAGGTATACAATTCTATGCTACATCCTTTGTATATTGTATTGTGTTCACCCCCAAAGTCAAGTCTCCTTCCATCACCGTTTATTCCCCCTTTACTGTCCTCTATCTCTCACCACCCCAACTCCTCTTCCCTCTGGTAATCACCATAATGTTGTCTGTGTCTATATGAAGCAAAACCCCCCCAAAAGAACAAAAAATCTGAGGTAGTTCTTTTAAAATTCACTATTTTTTTATTTTTGTTAATGCTCATTCAAGGATATTTTTCCATTGATTTTTAGGGAGAGTGGAAGAGAGAGGGGGAGTCAGAGAGAAACATTGATGTGAGAGAAACACATCAATTAGTTGAACCCTTCACGTGTCCCAACTAGGGCCCCAACCAGAGCCCAGGCTAGGGAGGAGCCTGCAACCAAGGTACATGCCCTTGACTGGAATCGAACCCGGGACCCTTTGGGCCACAGGCCAACGCTCTAGCCACTGAGCCAAACTGGGTAGGGCTAAATTTCATTAATTTTAACCTTCCCACCACATATAAGCATTGGTTTTCAGGTTCCATCCTTCTGGGCCTCTTCACTTACGACAGTATTGATTGCCCTCACCCTGGCTCCTTGGAGCTTTCTTTCCCACTGATTATGTGTGACTGTGGGCAAGCTACTTAAACTTCCAGTGACTCCATTTCCTATTTTGTAAAATGAGGACAATAATAACACTTCCCTCCTGGATTTAATATGAGCACTAAAGCACTTAGAACTGTGTCTGTCCCATACTAAGACCTATGTATGTTAGCTGCTATTATCATTATCATCATCATCATTATTATGGTTGTTGTTAAGAATAAACTATATCTCTTGATAAACCTGCTTGGAGTTGGGAACTCCCTGAGTGTGATGGTTTCAGAAAGGTTAATAAAACAACTTTATTTGGATAAGGCCTTAAAAGGAATTAATTTGTCTTGTGGGAAAAGAGAAGACATGCAACTGCAGAGAAGTTGAATGGTGCTTGATGTGAACCTTGTCAATAACCCCTTAAGGTCACTAACCCCACAAAATGCTATTTTTTGGTACAATATGATTTTATTGATTTTAGAGAGAGGGGGAGGGAGAGAGTTAGAGAGACAGAAACATTGATGAGAGAGACACATTGATCGGCTGCCTCCTGCATGCCCTGCACTGGGGATCAAGCACACAACCCAGGCATGTGCCCTGACCGGGAATCAAACTAGGGACCTCTTGGTGCATGGGTCAGTGCTCAACTACTGAGCCACACCGGCCGGGCACAAAATGCCAATTTTGAGTGGATGTGTGCATGCGTGTGTGTGATGTAAGCTGATGAGGGGACTAAATTTCATGTTGATGTGGGATGAAACCAATAACATACCAGAGGCCATAGCTAAAGACATAATAGAATTTGCTGATGACTAAGGGAATGTTCTGAAATAACAGGTTTGGAAATCAAGAGCTAAACTCAAATTTATTGAGAGTGTATGGGTGGTGGCAAGGAGAAGAGCATAGAGTGGACTCTGCTGATATCTGGGTTACGTTTATTTTTTCCATAGACTCTTGTTTTCCAAACTCCTACCTATGGGTATTGTCTATTACAGAGGCTATCGAACTATGGCCCATGCCTATTTTTATATGGCCTACAAGCTAAAAATGAATTTTACATTTTTAAAGGGTTGTAAACAAAAATAATGAAGACTATGAGACCAAGATCATATGTGGCCTCCAAAGTGTACAATATTTCTTATCTGGCCCTTCGAAGGATAATAAAATTCCAACCCCTGGTCTAATGCTCAATTCTTAATCAAATACTCTTATTCTTTTATATTGGACTAGAGGCCCAGTGCATGAAATTTGTGCATGGGGGTGGGTGGGTCCCTCAGCCTGGCCTGCACCCTCTCCAATCCAGGACCCCTGCGGGATCGGGCCTAAACCGGCAGTTGGCCATCCCTCTTGTAATCCGGGACCGCTGGCTCCTAATCGCTCGCCTGCCTGCCTGCCTGATCGCCCCTAACCACCTCTGCCTGCCAGCCCAATGCCCCGAACTGCCCTCCCCTGCTGACCTGAATCCCCCCTAACTGCTCCCTCCTGCTGGCCTGATCGCCCCTAACCACCTCTGCCTTGGCCCCTGCCACCGTGGCTTTGTCCAGAAGGATGTCCAGTCTAATTAGCATATTACCCTTTTATTAGTATAGATTACTTCCCACCCCAAACCACTCTTAAGCAAGTATATTAATTCATTTATTCATTATTTCACCCAACATATATTACTGAGTACTGGAGATATAAACATAAATAAGTCAGCAACCCCAGCCACCATTCAAGAACCTCACAATCTAATGAGGAAGAAAGAAAAATATAGGGTGATAACCAATACTATCTATGATAGTTGTAAGCACAGAGTACAGTGAAAAAGTGCAAAGGAAAAAGCAGTTAACTATGCCTGGCAAAACTGGGAGGACTCCATGCGATCAGAGTTCTTTGTAGAACTTAAAAATTAGCCTACTATATTTGCTCAAACATTTAATTAACTCACCCCTAATGCTTTGGCAGGTCCAGAACAAATGATTTTGTGGACCTTATATGGCTTATGGGCTGGATATTCCCCACCCCTGACCTAAATGATTCTTAAACCCCATGTACTACATTATACCTCTACTTATCACCATCTAAGTTCAGGTCCACTATTATTTCTCACTCAAAGACTGTAATAGACTCTTAATTAATCTATCCATATATACACACCTTCAATTCAAACTATTGTGCACACTGTAGGGATTGAACGAAAAGAAAACAGATATGTCAGTATGTCATTCCCTTTGAATGGATTGCTAGGGTCTTCAGGGTAAAGTCCAGTTTCCTTATCATGTTATGCAATGCCTTCCATTACCTGGTCCTGAGCTACTTCTCAGCCTTACTTTCTGGTATTTATGTCTTTGTACATTATTGCTTATAGTTTCCCAGACCCACTAAATGCTTTCATGATTCTAAGAAACTCATGTTCATGTTTTTATTCCCTCAAACTGGAAGCCCTTCCTACTTTATCTTTTATTCATCCTCAAGAATCATCTCCTCTAAGAAGTCTTCTCTAAACTCCCAGAATAAAGTTGTATCTCTTTTGTTCTCTCATAATACTGTTTATGTCTCTATCTTTCTTCTTAATACATTTTGCTAAAATTATGTTTTTATGTCTTTCCTCCTAGAAATACTTAGCTGCTCCTCAATAGAAAGACATAGGTCTCATTAATTTTTATACTCTAATATCTAGCATGGTTTCTAGACATAGTAAAACTGCATAAGTGTTTGTGAGAATTGGATTAAATTACTTTTCTTCTAGCTTCATAGTCTCTTTAAATCTGGTAAGCTGCTTGTTCTGAATCTTTACTTCAATAATAAAAATATTGAGAAACCAAGATGGCGGCATAGGTAAACACCTGAAATTGCTGCCTCGAACAACCACTTCAAAACTACAACTAAAAGACAAAATGGACATCATCCACAACCACAGAAAGGCTGGCTGAGTGGAAATTCTACAACTAGAAGGAAAGAGAAAAGCACACTGAGACTCAGAGGAGGTGCAGAAGTAAGGTGCAGAGGTATGGAGGCACACGCAGAAAGGGCTGGCAACTGAGGACGTGGTTGTCTTTTTCAATCAGGAGGGAGTCTCAAGCTCCTGACTGCTCTGAACTCCAGTTCCGGGCGAGTCTCTGGGGACCCAGACTCATACAGGGAGAAACTGGACTGTATGGCATCAGGCGGAACTCAAGGGTGGTTTCCTCTCAGAGGTGCTTGCAGCGATTACCGTGGGACACTGAGACCCGGGGTCTCTTAGGGCAGGGCTGAGGATCAGCCATAGCTGTTTGCTCTGCCCTGTTGATTCCCTGAGACCCCGCCCCACCCAAGCTGTACGCAGAGGCTTTTGCATATGAATGGCCTGGCCCTTTGCAATCTAAAATTACCTAACAAACTGCAGCTGGGTCAGAGAGACCCAGAACATCCAAAAGAA